TCTTCAAGTTTGTAATTAGCAGAATTGACCTTATCATGCGTACAACTGCATCAGTAAGAAAACCACAAAACTGACCACAAGAAAGTTGAAAGCCGAGACCTGCAGTTGAGTCGAAGCACAAATACAAGAATTTGATACATTACTAAGAACAACCTGGCGACAAACGAGCTCTCTGGTCCGACAGGTGTTGTGTTGGGTGGCCAATCAGGCACAATCTTGTAGCTGTGTATTGACTTGAAACCAGTGACAGTGTTGGAGAGCGTGTGCATACTTCAAGACGTGCACTCACTTTTTTTGTGGAATATGCAAAATTTATGTGGAAATTACTGTCAAATACTATACAATTAGATTTGTCAAAATAAATCTTAAACTCTGATTTAAGGATGTATTTTGCTGAAAACTAAAATACGAGTCAAAACATTAGTGTCGTCAATATTGATAATGACCACATGCATTACAACAGTGATTAACATTGGCAAGATTTTATTTACAGAAATAGTTTGTCCTAGGTGCAAGCCTGTAAGTTGCTCAAAGTGTTGGTGTGGAAATAAGTCAAATACACTAATGTGAGTTACTTACTAAATGCAGCTCTGAATATCAAAATAAAGGACTGGACAGAACAACAATGAAGGCATGTACAAAAAAAAATGAAATATTTTTTATTTCATAATGGTAAATGTATAAATCTATGATCGTCATGGATACTTGTATCTGTCGTTAAATGAGGCATTGTATTTATACAAAACTGAAATAACAAAAATACACATGAAGGTAATTTGTTTCTGACTATGCAATTGATACGCTAGTGTATGATTACTTTCCAGAATTTGGATTCAGAACAAAACTTGTAAAGCCATTGTCACTATTAACAATAATAATACATGAAATACTGAAATCACTGCCACTAGAGGGTGCTGCACACAACACAAACTGAAATTTATATATATTGTAAAATAAGTTATTTTAGCTGGAATTAAATTTTCATTAAAAAAACAAAACATTTTGGCCGTTTTGCATGAAGCTGATTTTTGATAAGTTGAATGTAAAACATAGGAAACTTGCTATTTCACAGATTCATCCCCTAAACGAATAAAAGGTATTTCACAGTACTGCAGACTAATCATTTTTCACGCTGAATGCATCTTCATTGGAAGAATAATTTAATGAAGACATTTTTGACAACTCAGAAGAGATCTGTGGAAATAAATTACATAACAAAAATAAAATCCAGAGAGACATTTTGCAAATTCAGAAGTCCACCAAAATAATTGATTTACTATACTTTGTAACAAAATCATTTAAACAAAAAATACTGAAAGTTATCTACATTGTCTCAGTAAACAAAATTTACCATTCTATGAAAATTCTTAAACAATAAAAAAAATATACTTATACATGTATGCACGCAAATATAGTCAAAAGTGTGGCCTGTTGTTTCATTCTTATATAAAATAATATGAGGTTATTATGAGAATACCTCAAAGTATGCACAAGTATGCATACTTTGAGGTATTCTCGTAATAACCTTATTATTATACATATTTTCCTTTCAAGGAATGCCAAAATCCAAAAAGTTTAGAACAGAATCAGCGAACTTCTTTGTGTGGAGTCCGGATCAAACCCTAGTGACAGTCATGTTTGTTTTTATTATTTAGAGGACACTTACGCATGTAATCATTCCATATTTGGAATTCGCATCCGATGTATCCTTGGAAGGAAAAGATAACAAGGTTATTACGAAGATATCTCCACTGCGCATCGGTCGATACTCCCACTGTACTGTCTTTGTGCATACTTTGAAGTATCCTTGTAATAACTTCATAATATGTGTATCTTATTTTTACGATCACCACATACGTTGTGGATTTTTTGCAATTACCAAAACTTTAGAAATCATCAAGCAAATGAATTAAAATATTCAAAAAATGAATACATATTTAAAAAAAAATTAAAAAATTTCAGAATCTCGTCATAATCAGATTGTAAGAATTCTGTTATTACTGCAACAACCACTATCATCATCATAAATTTTTTGTTTCTCGCTGTTTACAAGATTATTTACTGCCAGGTTAATCTGGTAACAAGTGCATACCTTTAAATCCGTAAAACAACATATGATTTAACACTAGTTTGTGTTGATACAAGAATTTCAAAGTTAAAACATTAAACTACACAGTGTAGAATAATACATAAAACAGGATTTTACAAACTATCATCATATAATGAGTACTAATGAAAAGTCAATTACCATAATCCTTCTATTAATTGCACCAAGATAAAATGTATTGAAAATACATAGTGGGTTTTAGTCAGAACATTGGATAATTAAACTTAAAAAATGACGATGGAGAAAATAGAAAAAGTGTTATACATGGAAACAAAACAACTACTTAAACGTTTCCTGCCAGGTGAATAAAAAGGAAAATAAAAATTTGGCCACCTCAAAAGACAATGGAGAAAATAGAAAAAGTGTTATACATGGAAACAAAACAACTACTTAAACGTTTCCTGCCAGGTGAATAAAAAGGAAAATAAAAATTTGACAAAAAATTTGGCCACCTCAAAAGACAAATTTCTTTTCAGTGCAATTAAAAGAACGATGAGAGTAATAGAATATATCACATCAGTAATGATATTGATAAAATAGCATCAATGGAACTGTAAATTAACTAAAACTCTAAAGAGAAAATATTGTGTATACACACAATAAGAGCAGTATATAATATAAATTACAATCATTAAGACTTTGTACATAATGAGTTCATTGCAATTAGTACAATTTAGTAATTCAATTATGCAGGCTTCAAATCTTGCAAAGCTCTATTGTAACACAATCTATACAGTTCAAAACTGTCTGTCTTTTTAATAACAATCGTACAAATGCTAAGATAGAGAGTAAGTATCTTATGAAAGCAAAACATACTTAATTTAATGCTGTACAATCCCTTACATGCATTTCCTCTATTGGAAGCACGCATATCTACCGGTAATAGAAGCCCATATATATCAAAAATCAAATTTTGTTCTATTAATATATTTCTTACTGTTATTGTAGAAACACCTGTAATTTACATGAACGCATACGCTACTAATAGAGCAAATACTGATCTTGTACGCCTTATCTGACAACATTTTTCAAACAGCCACAAATTCAATATAAAAAAAAGGGCACAAAGGTACAGGATTTGGCAGCAGTTAGTTCTGAAAATAATTACCTGACAAATTTGTGAAAAATTTTACTGGTGTAATTAAAATAAAATTCAATACCAATCTTACTACCGGTATATTCGATTCTAGAAGGTTCTCTTCAGTATGAAAACTATAATCTAGGTACTCTACAGTATTAATCAATACACATACTAAATTTGTGAAACACATTTTTGGATTTGAAATCTGATTATTTACAAATATAATGTTTTAGGAAAGTCCATCTCCGGTGGACGATGAAAAGTATCTATAAGCAATGGGTACCCCGCTATCTTCTGTACAATCTGTCATGGACGTACTCTCTAATAATGATGTTGCTGTCTCACCTGACGATGCTTCAGTACCAGGAGCTATACTTGCATCCTGTGCTGCGACTGCTGCTGCTAAAGTGGCCTGGTTGCTGTCATTGGATTGCAATGATGCGTCTACACTATCACCTAGTGAACCTGTGTCTAAATGTTCAGCATCCATTTCTGCAATCTCATCTGTTGTCAAGGACACCATAGCGTCTCCTCCTCCACCCATATCCTTTTGCATGTTCTCCACTGTCATTATGCTCTCTGTGGTTTTATTCTGAATCATCTGGGCTTTAATTCTCTCAAGATCTTTCTGAATGTCTTCTGCACTGGTACTGTTATGAGACTCCTCAACCTCAGTAACTATTGTTGTCACTTTAGTAACTTTACGAGGTGGTCGACCGCGCTTACGGATACTTCTTCGACTAGTTTGTGTTTTCTCAGTTATCTTAACTCTTGTTGTTCTTCGTTTGGGCGCGGGTTTCTTCATCACCACTACTTCTTCCTCATCTTCCTCATTATCATCTCGTACCTCTTTGATCTTCTTCGCTTCACGTCCTGGTCGGCACTTGTGTTCTTTTAAATACTTGTCTCTTGCGAATCCCTTTTTACACTTCTCACACCTAATGTTGTAATCATCTGTGTGCATACGCTCATGTTCCAGCATGTGTGGTTTACGACTGAAACTCTTACTGCAATACTTACATTTGTAGGGCTTAATCCCGCTGTGAGCTATTATGTGTGCTTTCAGCTTGTCTGGCCGATTAAACTCCTTTGTACATCCAGTGTGAGTGCGGAAAGGACATTTGAATTTCTTGATGGGATCATGAATCAATAAATGACGCTTAAGTTTATCTTTGCGATTAAATGCTGCTTCACACTGTTCGCACTTGAACGGTTTGACTCCTGTGTGTATCAGAACATGCATCTTCAGATAGTGTTCAGTCTTGAATCGTTTCTTGCAGTGATCACAGACGTGTTCACCCATTGTTCCATGAACAGGTAGATGCCTCCGCAGATATCGCTCACATGGAAATACTTTATCACAGTTAGGACAGGGATAGCTATGGCTGGTAGTTGCTAAGTGATGGTCTAGAGCTTCTGGGGTAGCATATTTATTCATACACTTATTGCAACGGAAGTATCTAAAGATGAAAGAAATTAAATCATTGTGATTTTCTTACTCATTTCTTTTAGTTATCTGATTTTATTGACAGTCAACATTCAGACAGTAGGGACATGTACAAATTTATGGAAGGAATCTCAGCTAGCCAAGATCTTTTGTGGATGTGCTTTACCTCACACAATAAATAAGGCTGGAAAAAATCATTGTTCTGAAATAAACCGTGAAAAATCATCTTCTTAGCCATTCTTTTTTTTTAATCGAGGGAGAGAGACTACTTGCTTCATGCAACAAGTACATGTATTGTTGAAGAATTGGTCACATGGGCAAGTGATGACATTATGAGAGTCACACTTGTTCCCTCTCTAACAATATTATTGTGATTAAAATGTATAGAAGAGGAGGGGGCGGGCTTACAAATATGAACACCAATTGAATACAGAAATCGTTGGGTTAGACATGAGCAGAGAGTTATGCTAAAGCAACTACTGTGAAATACTTTATTTTAGCTGGAATTTATTTTCGCTGAAAATGCTTTTTGGGTGTTTTGTATGGAATTTATTTTCAGTTGAATGTGAGATATAGGAAAAAAAGTATATTCACTGATTTTTATTTTCACTGAAGCATACCTTCAGCGACAATAGCTTCCAAGCGAAAATAAAGTATTCTACAGTATGATAAATCTTCTTTTACTGACCTTGGTCCAGGTTTTGGTCCTTGGTTAGGGTATAAGCTATGAGAATACTGATGAACACCTAACTCATATAGAGATGGGAAATGTTTATTGCATAGGTGACATCTGTATGACATTTCATTCTCATGGGTTTTAGTATGCTCCAGGAAACTATCCAAGTCTTTCCAAGTCATCCCACATGTTTTCAGTATACATTTATACACCTAGAAAGAAGTAGTCAAAGTCGGGCTTTACAAAAGTGCTATTTTTTTTAATCTTTCATCGTGTAGCACAACTGATGCTTGTTCGGAAACATTTGCCTAGTATTTGTCTCATGAACTCTCATGATAACTTGTAGATCATCTCTCTTATCCCTCTCTGATATACAATAGCTATATCAATATAAAAGCAATGACCAGTGGTTTTGTCAATGCCAGAATTCAAAAAAAAAAAGCACAGTCAATATGGGTGTTTGAAAAGTTTCATTTTGACGAAAAAAATTACTATAAATATGCCATGCTTGTAATGTTAGAGTTACCGGTATTAGCAAACAAATAGAAATATACCATGCTTTTAACTTAAACATACAAAACATTTGTGGCTGAAACCTAATTTTCTTCATTCATATGAAAAAAAAACACCAGCAGTCGAAACGTCCACCTTGGAAAAAAGCCAGCTGAAACGCCTGTGGTCAAAATGTTTACGACTGAAACATCTTCATTCAGGGTACACTCCGGTATGTTTGTATTTCGGCAAGACCCAGTTGCATTCATGCATAGGAGGGACTAAGGAATGAGTTTATGACCAAAGTTATTAACAATATACAAAGTTCAAGTTCTTATAACTTTTATTTCTCAGTACAGTGAGTAAGATGGTGTAGATTTTAGTTCCATAATTATAAAACATTAACAATGTAAATTGCAAAAGTTGTAGAATAATAGAAAGTAGTACAGAGACTCATCATTAGTCTTGCCAACAAAGTCTCTGTAATGCACTCACATTACTTGTTGAAAATGACATAACGAAATGAAAATATACAAATGTACAAATAAAGGGTATTTTGTTGTCATGGATCATCCATTTCGTCAATTTGTCTTTAGCCCGAGTAAGAGTCTAAATTTGGTCTCAAAAATAGGTCAGATTTAGCTTGCACTAGTCGTTTCTTAGCCTATACTAACCGCTTGTACAGATTTTCTTGGTATGGGCTAAGGAGATGTGTGAATGCAACTATTGCTGGTTAACAATGAGGAATGATTATACTACGGAGAGGGAGGAAAATCAAGCAAAATTGTTATTTATGAACCATACCTGTTCTGTTTTATGTTGTGTCATGTGTGATTTTAACTGGAAATAGGACTTGAATGTCATAGGACAATATTGACAGAGATAAGAATTGTCAACAACCACCACAATACCAATACCGTCTGCATAAAGATACGAGAATGAGAATGTATTAAGAATTACACATACATGTATAACAAACAAGATACTGACTAAAATGCAGTTTTACATTTTGGATAAATGTTAGCAGTCAACTGTCAGTAAAATAAGCCAAAAAAACACAGTAAACAAGCCATGCATGGCACAGTCCCAGTTAGTTATCAAATTTAAAATATATAGTTTTGTTTATAGTAATATAGCTGGAATATAATCATGTCAGGAATATGATTTTTTAACATTAAAATGATTGACATTTGTATCTGATCGTCAAAAAAGTACTTGTCCATATTGAGAGATATTGCTCTGGAACAGCATTCAAAATCAGCCATTTTGAATACATGTATATATATAACATGATGTATAACGAATATATAAAATTTGAATATAATCAGTCAAGCATTTAAGAGATATGGCTCTAGAAGCCCAATCATTAAAACAAAATGGCCGCCAGTCAACCATTTTGAATCCAATCTGAAAAACAAAATGACGTGCATCAGGAACCTATAATGTCTAATGTATGTACCAAGTTTGAACGAAATCTATCCATAAATGCCAGAAATGCTTGATATTTGATGATTTTTTAGCACAAAAATGACCACCATTCGGCCATTTTGAATAGGATCGTCAAACCAATATATCTGTTTATCTATGACATGATGTATAATGAATATTTAAAATTTGAACATAATCAGTGAAAGCAAGTCAGAGATATGGCATGAGAACCACATTCATTAAAACAAAATGGCCGCCAGTCGGCAATTTTTAATCTTATCTGAAAAACAATATTATTTGCATCAAGGTCCCATAATGTCTAATGTATATACCAAGTTTAAACAAAATGCATCTGTAAACAGCTGAGAAATGGTTGATTTTTAGGATTTTTTAGCACAAAAATGGCCGCCATTCGGCAAT